CCTCAAGGGCCACGCCAAAAGGTAATTGAGACCAACCCTAAGCTCCTTGTTTCTCCGCTCTAAAGGTAGCCCCGATTATTGCTGACTTAAGTATCGGAGTGTCTACCCCGAGGATCCACCTCGAGGATCCACCTCGGGGCTTTGCAGGTCAATCCAGGGTGCAGATACGGACTGAAGAAGGACTTCTGGTTTGGTGCAGTTACACGAGCTTTCCAAATTGTCTATGTATTCAGAAATCTGCTAGAGAAGCAATAGTTGCAGGGTCTGCAACATCAAGCTGATGAAAATCTATGTATTCAGACAGACCAGATTCTTTGAGCTTTTCGACAGCTTCCATACCCCTCTTCTCATCTCTGGCTGTCAAAACTACGGTCACCCCATGTAACGCCAGCTGCTTGCATATTTCCAAACCAATACCTTTGTTTGCCCCAGTAACAACTGCGTACCTGAAAATGAAGGGAAAGTAAAGAAGAATAAGAAAAATGGAACACCAAAAATAAAGAGAAAACTTGATTGAAGGAAAAAAAATAAAAATAAAAAATAAAAATAAGAAACCTCTTCGTTGGCTCTGCCATTAATGGAGAAACTGGGATTATGAGACAAGTATAGGCGTGCGAGAATAGAGGATTTTATAGTTGAACTGATAAGAACAAATCATCTTAGCGAAATAGGCCGAGAAACGTATGTATGGTCAAACGTAGCTAAAGTCTTCTATAATTGTTTACCATGTAAAGTGCTGTGGTGATATTCTTTTTTAATATCTTATTATAATAATAGAAATTATGTTTAAAATTTTTTTTAAAATAATAATTTATACCAATTATCTATATAATTTAATGATAATTTTTTTAAAAATAAAAAATTTTAATTTCAAATCACATAATATATAAATAAGATAAAAAAAAATTAAAAAAATTACCTTTTATTATACTACCAACATAAAAAATAGTGATTTATATGTTAATATAATTAGTAAATGTATACTAGTTTTGACTTTTAATAAAAATTGAAGTTCCAGACTGCAACGGCACCGTTTCATAAAAAATAAATCTTCACGGTTCCTGGCATTCATCTCCTCCACGCCTCCTGCAATTTGTTTAACAAGAACCACAGCGAGGATACAGAGAAGGAATCAAAGGAAAACTTCAT